CTCTACTTCATATTCAACTGTACTTGTAATCACAAAACCTAGTACGTGACAATGAATTATAGTATACCTCCATGAAAGAAAAATATAGCACAACATAAATGTGTTCACCTTCTTAACTGCTAAATTAGGAATCTAGAAGTCTTGGAAAACACCTTACAGTAAATACTACATTAGTTCTGGAATAATTTGTTGGATATGGCTAAATTCAAAATGAAGAAGAGGAAGCTTGAAACACAGCACTTTAGCTAGCCAAAAATAGTAAGTTACTAACGTGTTTCAGAATCTGAGAAGGCAGTAAATTAACCCTTGTATATATTATTAAAGTGCAACCCCATACAAACTTTTTTTGTAATGGTTAGACTGGGGCAATGCTAAAACCTCTGTCAGGTTTTAAGTTGCTGTATATGGCTGTCTCATGGAAATTGACCTTTAGATCTTTTCTGGTCTTGTCTTGACAATGTTTTCACCAGAACGAAATGAGGAGAAATCTCTCAAAGGCTATATTCGCATGGGAGTCTAGTGTCATTGTGGGCAGCACAGTGGCTAAATGGTTAGCACTTTCGCCTGGCAGCACTATGGTCATTGGTTCAAATTCCAACCACAGCACCACCTGCCTGGAGCTTGCATGTTCTCCCTATGCCTGTGTGGGCTTCCTCCATGTACTCCAGTTTCCTCCCACACTCCAAAGACATGCTGGTAGGTTAATTGGATCCAGTATAAATTGGCCCTAGTATGTGTATGTATGAATGTAAGTTAGGGACCTTAGATTGTACGCCCCTTGAGGGTTAGAGACTGATGTGAATGCATGATATTTACAGTATATATATATGTAAAGCACTGCATAAATTGACAGCACTATATAAATACCTGAAATAAATTGTGAATGATCACTGCTGGACACACAGAAAGTGTGCTTACATTCAATGGGATGTGTCCCTTGTTAGGAGACTGTTGTTTCAGTTGAAATCTTTTGTCCCCTGCCCCCCTTCCCCTAATGCCCCCATAGAGGGTATCTTGTAATACTGTCAATACAGCTGCTGGACCTTGGCCCCCCTCCTCCAATCATAGAAGCTTTTCTAAAGGTTCATCATTTAAAAGGACTAAAAAAAGGGGGGTGGACTCATGCACTGCCAAAGATATAAAAACGAAGAAGCTGCTGACACCTAACTAGCCTAGAATGGATGAAACATAAGTAGATTAGGTGGTGTAGCGCTAATACCATGTGATACTTAACATAGAAAAATCAATAAAGGACTCGATATTAAATAGGTGAATACATAAATTATATGAATAAATATATAGGTGTACAGCGGTGCACCTAATGTGTATCCCAAAAACATGCCATCAAGAATGTGACTAAATATAAGTGATAGGTGATATAAGTGAAACAACTATTACCAAATATAAATACATGTGATCATAAATGAACAATATTCATAAATCATATAGCACAAAGTCCCAAATGTATAACTGTGATGAATCAATCTTCGACCGTGAAAATTAATACATGCTCAAGTGCGTCAGACCATCTGTCACCGTCTAGCGTGAACGCTTACCTCCAATCTTTGGCCCTCAAGGAGTCATAAGGCATAACAAATCACCAGTTAGTCCCAGGTTTGATGAATCTCACTCTCTGGATGGACACAGGATCAGCTTCCACACAGCCCACGGTTATTCAACCATTACAATGGTAAGGCACCTTTACAAAAAAAAAGCCACCGTAGTGTATTAAAGTAAAGTTTATTATACCAAATGCCAAAGACCTACTCACACAATAAAATTGGTCATATACCCACCAGGAATGAACTGTATAACCCATAGTCCGTGTGCTTGCATAGGGAGTCCAAAGATGGCTGCCGTCCATGCGTAATTGTGTTACCACATTCTAGTCTAAACATAAGGGAGAATTATAAATGGTTATCAATACTAACCATACTGGCATGGTTCTCATAATAGATGATTACCTTAAGCCATAACTTATGACAATCAAGCTCATTGAGTATGCCAACAACCACACACAAGCTATACATGTCTGGTGACTCTATCAAAACTTTCCAGCGTACTGGAGAATTTTGTGATTTGCTTTGGTGCATTTTGCATTACGCACAAAAGCAAATTAGCTACTGTGAGATGCAACTGGTGTGATTGTCAGAGGTACCCAAAAATAAGCTGAGCATGGACCTATCAAAGTATTGACCACTAGCGCTAGGCTTTTTGTGTAAGGCATACGCAAGCATTTGAAACCTCCTCTCTTCATCCCACTTTCACCCATGACTTTACCTAAAAAGAAGTATGATGAGAAGAATACAAATTGTGCAGCCTTTTTTTTTCCCTACCCTTAAGTACCACTTACAGTATGTTAAATATATTTCCCTCCATGACTATAATAGTAAAAAACTAAACTTCATTGTTATAAATATTCAAGCATTTAACCAGAGTCCTTCACAATCAGCATTTACAGTTTTCACACTTTTCACATACTACCAAGCACCAGTCTAATTATTTTTGGTTGTTGTGTCTAATAATCTCCTTCACCAGTTGCTATAAATATGCTATTGTCCCTATCAGACATCAAAAGTGTCCATTTCCAGGTGATGTCCCTACACACTGAAACAGGAAACTATACAGTAAGTTCTTTCCAGCAATGCTGCCAGAGGCAAAATCCAAGTCTCTTGTTCCTTGGGCTAGATCATTAATAAGCTCTGTATAAATATAGGTGTGCCCCAACCCATGGATTCCACTTATGCCCTCCATATAAAGCTATGCATATATTCCAATTGCCAGCACAAGGATGTTCCTTTTCCAGGTGTCCAAAATTTATATATCTAGTCGCCTCGTGATCCCTGGAAACAAAAGAAAAAGCACAGCATCAGACTCTTAGCAGTTATTATTTTTCTATACCCACATCAAACTCTCTCTTATCTCAAAGCTCAGACCAGGCTATGGTCTCTATTTGCCCTAGACCTAGTATTCTTTCCCTCAAAAATAAATTCTTGTAACGCAAAAACACAAAGTATGATAAAAAATAATTAACACGCAAAAAAAGTATAATTTTCCAAAAACTGTCTCCACCTTTCCAGCCCCTTGGTACCATAATACATTGGTACCATGCCATAAAATAAAGACCTGACCACTAAAATATTTGCTTACACAAGCAATGGGTCTTAAAGGTGAAACAACAATACATCCTAAGATTTATAAATAAAAAAAAAAATTCACAGAAAATAAAAATAAACTAAAAAAAAATATCCTAAATTTCGAGAGAAAAAAAACGATAAAATAAATGAAAAATCTGGCCATTAACACACACAAACAACATGACAAAACAAGCATCATAAAACAATGACAAAGACACTCAACTTTTGTTCTGATTTAAAGACATCCGTGGACTATTTCCAACCTGGAAGAAAATTTTTTTTTAAAAAAAAAAAACCTACACTTCTGTACATTATCACATTTTATTTGCATTTGTAACTTCTTAACCCGCACAGCCTGTCTATTGTTTAATTTTTGCAAACAATTACTAGGTAATGAGCTCAAGGTACCATGTGATTATTATTATTATTATACATGATTTATATAGCGCCAACAGTTTGCGCAGCGCTTTACAATATAAGGGAGACACAAAACAATTACAATACATTTCAGTACAGAAGGAATAGGAGGGCCCTGCTCGTGGAGCTTACAATCTAAAGGAAGGGGGAGGTGATACAAAAGGTGATAGTTGACTACATCTACATTAAACTAACTCCTGTTCAAATAACTTTGGCCATTATTGTTCTCACTTCAAAGGACCTAGAAAGAAAAAACACAAACATTAGTATCCAAACTCGTTTAACTTCTTTCCTGGACCTAAAAAAACATAAAGAAAATTGTTACACACAATTAATACACACAATTATATTTCCTAATCCCTAAACCTTTCCAGCTATGCATACTACCAGGGGAATAATTGTCATACTTTCCTATACTAAGCAGGTAACATTGTAAACTGTGCCATATTACTAAGGAAAAATGGTAATGCATTTTGTGCCCAACTACATACAAGCCAGAATGGTAGATTAGCCCAGAGGACAAACATTGGAATGTTCACCCATCCTTACTGCTGGCTGTTTTTAGGGTGTGGTGTACCTGTGACTCTTATCTCTGTTTCAGAATTGTGTGATCTCTCCTGGCTGTTATCTTTTCCAGAAGGGTCCTGCACCCCGCTCAGAAACCTGTATTTCTATATTTTCTTGCTCAAGGCTAGCAATGTTAGGCGTTCTACTTATATGTCCTGTGTTCCCTCACCTAAAACAGCTGAATTTATTCTACCTTCCCATACCTCTGTTTATTCCTGATAGATCTGCCTTTGATCTGTACCCCCTATCACTGGACTCTTGACAATAGTCCCAAAGAATATTGGTAAAAATTTGGTATGAACCAGCATTTCTCAGAGCCATATTAGTGGGATACTTTACATACCATTTATTGGCCATTGAGTATATAAACTTGCATCATCCCCCAATAAATCAGGACAGTTATACACTTTCTTGTACAAAGCAAGATACTCACTGCAGAAACATATTGGGTCATCTCCTCTCCTAAATCTCATTCATTGTAAATCCCTCATACCACTGTCACGACTGTCCAAAATATGCTACAACTCTTTAATCCGCTCATCTGCAAAGTTACCATTAACTTGTGCAGATAACTGGCCTGCAGATGTCCTAGTAGCCACGCTTTTAGAAGAGAGCATGCTTCCTCATGACTCAAACAGTATCTAACCACTAGAGCAGCGGTCCTCAAACTTTTTAAACAGGGGGGCCAGTTCACTGTCCCTCAGACCGTTGGAGGGCTGGACTATAGTTTAAAAAAAAACTATGAACAAATGCGGACACAGTACAGGAGATGACCAGAGACTGCGGATATACAACGGCGGCAGGAATACTGGTCCCGGCCGCTCCATAAGACGCACGGACATTTCCCCCCAAGTGTGTCTTATGGAGCGAAATAGTGCCCCATCATTGGTGTCAGTGGGAGGAATAGTGCCCCATCATTGGTGTCAGTGGGAAGAATTGTGCCCCATTATTGGTGTCAGAGGGAGGAATAGTGTCCCATCATTGGTGTCAGTGGGAGGAATAGTGCCCCATCATTGGTGTCAGTGGGAGGAATCGTGCCCCATCATTAATGTCAGTGGGAGGAATAGTGCCCCATCATTGGTGTCACTGGGAAGAAACATGCCCCATCATTGGTGTCAGTAGGAGGAATAGTGCCCCATCATTGGTGTCAGTGGGAAGAATCGTGCCCCATCATTGGTGTCAGTGGAAGGAATAGTGCCCCATCATTGGTGTCAGTGGGAGGAATAGTGCCACATCATTAGTGTCAGTGTTGGGAGGAATAGTGCCCCATTGTTGGTGTCATTGGGGGGAGGAATAGTGCCCCATCGTTGGTGTCAGTGGGGGGGGGGGAATAGTGCCCCGTCATTGGTGTCAGTGGGGGAAGGCGATAGTATATCCCAACATTGGTGTCAGTGGGAGGAATAGTGTCCCATCATTGGTGTCAGTGGGAAGACTAGTGCCCCATCTTTGGTGTCAGTGGGAGGAATAGCACGTCATTGGTGTCAGTGGGGGGGAATAGTGCCCCGTCATTGGTGTCAGTGGGGGGATAGTACCCCAACATTGGTGTCAGTGGGGGGGATAGTACCCCATCATTGGTGTCAGTGGGGAAAGGAATAGTGTTCCATCGTTGGTGTCAGTGGGGGGTGGAATAGTGCCCCATCGTTGGTGTCAGTGGGGGGGAGGAATAGTGCCCCATCGTTGGTGTCAGTGAGGGGGAGGAATAGTGCCCCATTGTTGGTGTCAGTGGGGGTAGGAATAGTGTCCCATCCTTGGTGTCAGTGGGAGGAATAATGCCCCATCATTAGTATCAGTGACACCAGTGATGGGGCACAATTCCTCCCACTGACACCAATGACACTTAACTTGCTGACCCCTGTTCCAGCATGGTGCTGCTGCAGCCAGCATACCTGGTTGCAGCAGCACCATCTGCACGGCACACTTACCTGTCAGCTGTCCTTCTTCGCTCTGGCCTCTCACTCACTCGATGTTCACGGGGCCACTTGGCTCCGCCTCCTCACAGGTGATTGGCTGCCTGTGTGCCTTTCCTGAGCTACAGTTCTGGCGCCCAATCACCGGTGAGGAGGCAGAGCCGAGTGGCAGCGTGAACATCGAGTGAGGGAGTGGCCGGAGTGAATGAAGGAGCAGCGCTTCCTGGACTGGATCGTCGTGGGACTGGGACCGGAGCCAGGTAAGATACAGCAGCCCCCTGCCTGCCCCTGTACTTAGTGTCCCCTTCCGGTGGGCCGGATAAATGGCCTCGGTGGGCCGCATGTGGCCCGCGGGCCGTAGTTTGAGGACCCCTGCACTAGAAACTCAAATGTATTGGACAGTCACTGGTGACTGTAGAGTATTAAATTCACCAAGAATCTGGCACTAAGTAAGTCTATCTTGGATTGTAATCAAACTGTTAGTCTGATTTGAAGCTATAGGTGCAGTAGCTGGCTGTACTTCACTGAGGACCTTTCCCTCATTGACTGTGCAAATATTAGCCAATTGACATGCTCTTTTGTGCTCATTGTGCGATGATATACATTGCTCTTTATTAAGAAGCTGGGAGTTTGCCTCTGCTAATTTCCTTTCTAAAGACCTAACCAGCTCTTCCATGTCGGACAACTTCATTTGCAAGGGTACTAAAAGTTTGCTCTTCATATCACAGTCCACGCTGCACCTCTGCAGCTGTTCTTGTAGCTCACCATTTCTTTTTGACAAATTGCCTGCCCACCATTCATCCATTTCAATATTGGAGACTGTTGCAACCTTTGAAAGGTTTTCCCTAATTTTCTCTAAGTCCTCTCTGAGATGCCTCCTCTCTGCTGTTCCTCTTTCTGCTCAGATATAAGTTTAATTGTGAGCAATACTGCAATTTCATTTGCTAATCTCTCCTCCTTCACTTTCTTTGTTAGCTCTTTACCCAATAATCTGCTATTATGTTGCAGACACTGAGATAATAGTTCATTACACTGACTTTTAAGAGGTTTATCTGCAAATGAATAACTAGCGGAGGCATATTTTTTAACATATGTATGCACAAGTTCCATTTCACAACTATACAATCCACACAAGGCCCAGCTCTATTAGTACTATGGCACTGAGCAACAAACCAAACTAAACTGCTTTTACCTCTTGCAACAACTCACACAAATCATACTACAAACAAACAAAAAACAAAGCTCTCTTCTAGCATTCAATATCCTTCATTCATTAGCACTTTTACTTGAAATCACACCAAACAATTACAACTTTTGCATATCCATAGAAAAGACTCAGATGATAATGGAGAACTGGCATATTTGACCACTAATATTGCTAAAGTATTTAAAAAATATTATAGCAAACTATATGACATAAATCGGAAACAATTAAAAGTAGGGAAGAGGAGAGAACAAGACAGAGGCAAAAAGGTATTTAAGGGAGGCGAATCTATCGAATCTAGGAGAAGAACGGTTAAAACATTTGGAACATCCGATAACGCAGGAGGAAATTCAAGGGGCATTGAAGGGGACAGTTGCTCGGAAGAGCCCAGGACCTGAGAGGTATACAGTGAGATACTATAAAAAAATTTCAAGAACAACTAGTCCCGAAATTGGGGGTATATATGAATGCATTAGGAAAAGGGATAGAGATGAGGGAGGAGTCATTGCAAGCATATATTAAGCTCATACAAAAAGAGGGAAAAGATGGGACCCAATGTGCTAGTTATGTGCTATCTCACTGTTAAATACAGATACTAAACTATTTGTAAAGGTCCTAGCAACTAGGTTGAAAGATTTAATGCCAGAGTGGATTCATCTGGATCAAGTGGGATTTGTCCCCTGGAGGGAGGGAATAGACAATGGGTTACGGTCATTATTCCTTATACAGAAAAGTAAGAGAGAAAAACCCCCTGTATGGTCCTGACAGTTGATCCAGAGAAGGCTTTTGATAGGCTAGATCGGGGCTTTATGTTAGACACGTTGGAGATTTGGGAATTGGACCCAAGATGAGAGAGTGGACAGGAAAGCTCTGAAGCTACAGTTAAAGGTCAACCGTTTGCTATCAGAGTTTTTCAGGATGTATAACGGGACAAGGGTGTCCGCTTTCACCTCTGTTGTTTGTCCTATCCTTAGAACCCCTCTTAGCAACAGTAAAAAACAGTGTAGATATAAAAGGGGTCCGGATAGGGGAGATAGAACACAAAGTGGCAACGTTTGCGGATGCTATGCTGTTCTGTGTGGCTAACCCTAGGTTGACATTACCTAATCTAATGAAATATGGAGAGATGTCAAATCTAAAAATTAACCCTGTAAAATCAGAAATATTAAATATTAATGTCCCGATAATGGAAAAGAAAATTTCACAAAGAGAATTTCCCTTCTCATGGAGGGAAAGAAAATTAAAATACCTGAGGATTAAATTGACCTCGTCCTTAAAGAACTTATATAAAGTAAACTATATCCCACTAATAAACGAGATAAAGGAGGAATTGAGAAGATTATCGGTAGGACCATCTTCTTGGATAGGACGAATAAACCTGATAAAAATGATAATCATCCCAAAAATCCTATATAAATGCCATATGTTACCTATACAACTTCCAGGAGCCCATTTTAAAATCCTTAAAAAAATGATATTGAGATATATTTAGGGAAATAAAAAAAGAGAATAAGCTATGAAGTGCTATGTAGGGACCAGGATGAGGGCAGCTTAAGTGTGCCTGATTTCAAGAGATATTATTTTTCAATGTTACTTTAACGTATTTTTGACTGGAGATATAATCAACTGAAGTTGCAAGGAAAAGTTGGGTGAATATATAAAACACATTAAGTGGGACACAATTGGATAAGATAGTGTGGATTCCACATCAATATCGTAAATTAGAAGAATGTACAAGCACTTATACACGAAATGTAATTAGGGTATGGGATATGATTCACAAACAAATGGGTTGGGAGTTCAATTCTATGCTGATGCTATTGGTTGACACAGATTTCCTCTCTCCAGGGAGGGAAGACATCTCAGGTAAATGTACTGTATAAGAAAGGCGAATGTACACTTAACGGACAAAATGGATGGGGGGAAGATTTTCTCCTTTCAGGAGTTAAAAAAAAAAAGGAGTTGTTTTCCTCATTAAACAAGTGGAGATATCTCCAGTTAAAACATTTTGTTATTTTGCTCCTTAAGCCCTAAAGACCGGATTTAAATTCAATAGAACAACGTTTTAATACAAATAAAATATGGAAACATGGTACGTCCTGGATTTATAAAAATTCTTACTGAAATAATAGAAGTTACCCTGCCTTTGTATATGGAGAAATGGGAAAGGGAACTTGGAATAACTTTTGACGAGCAACAGAAAAAGAAAATGTTTAGCTTATCACATGAAGCTGTAGATATGAGGGTGGTAAAAATTAATTACAAGTGTTTGGCTAGGTGGTATATTACACCAAATGTGGCACATAAGCAACAAATAGATAAATCACCTTTATGTTGGAGAGGTTGTGGGACGAAAGGCACAATAGCACACATGTGGTAGGAGTGTCCCAAAATTCAGGAGTATTGGTGACAAACAATTTATTTAATTCAGGAGATAACAGGGGTTGAGGTCCCGAAAGATCCAGGCACTTGCTTATTCCATAAAACTGAGATTACAGTAGAAAAATATAAGAACTCGTTGGCATTTCACCTGATAAATGCGGCACAGGGGTTGATACCTACATTCTGATAAAATGGAGAGATTCAGAGAAAAGTGGGAGAAATGGGATAAGTTTAAAGAGCAATTTAAAGAAAAAAAGAGAGTAGATAAAAAAGGAAGAAAGAGAAGGTTGCCTCGAGAGGGTAGAGAGATGAGGAAGAGCGAGGAGATAAGAAGAAAAGGGAAAAAAAAAAAAAAACTAGGGAGCAGATTGGGGGAAAAGGGGTGGGAATGGGAGGTGGGGTTTTACTTTAGAATGAAGATATATAAGAAAATTGTGTATTTTTGAATATTTTGATACTTTAATGGTGTACGTGATATATTGAAAATTAGTAAAGTATTTAAAAGGAAAAGGGAAAAAAAAAAAGCATTAGTGTCCCCTTTTTATATCTCTTTAAAGAATGGTGACAAATCTTCTGTGCACTTGATGGGGCCCCTAGTTGGTGCACATTAAGGTTCATATCCCTCCTTGTGTAAGAGCAGGATTTCCTAAAGATGGTATAGTCACCAAAAGATTTCCCCTTTTAGTGATGTTGAAACTGGATAAGGTCTCTTTAACACAAAGGATGAAGGCAAGAACTAGCTAAAATTTAAGAAGGGGTGGAGGCAGACTTCATTAGAGGTTGTACCTCTAAATATGGTGAAGCAGAAATGAGATACTAGTGTAGTCCTGTCTGCGGGGAGCACGTGCTGTAGCCAAAGTCCTGCAGTTACAGGATTCTGGCAGTAGCCATAATAAAAGAATGTGCTAGTCCGTCTGGGTCTCAGTCTGATAATCTGTGGTGTAAGGTGAACTCAATTTAACAATTTACATTAACATAGTAATTTGAAATGTGTGGTAATCTGGGCTATAAAACACTCTTACTCGAACTGTAGCCTTTGCAGCATAGGAAGTGGTCTCTCAGTTGGGGGGCCCCGTGTTCTTTTTCTTTTTGGTCCCTCTGTT